TCTAACCCTTTCTTGCTGTATATTGGAATACTAAAGTAAAAATTATGGCTTTGAACTGCTTTCAAATCCATGCACAAAGAATTAACTTCAATACACTTGTGCCTGACAAGTACTGAACTGACAGTTGTGAGGACCCGTCATTTTTCTAACAAAGCTGCTGCTTCAGAATAGCGGGTTTCATTTTAGAGATTTCAAATTACTTTTCATGCAAAGAAATTTCACCTCCATTAAAAAAATGTTCAATCATTTAGAGCAACTTACGCTTCAGCTGTAGGGCCTACTGCTCGGTAATTGGCGGTTGTGCTAATCAGCTCAGTTTCTTCATAGTCCTTATTGACTCCATCACGGCGTTCCTTGGCTCTGTCTCTGTATTTCTCTGCCAGTTCTCTCTCCCGCTCGATTTCCTGCTGCCGCAACTTCGCGTAGTAGCTGCACATCAGAGGACAAGGATGTCAGAGCTGCATGAAACACAATTACTGCCTGCAACTCTGCATAATACATTTATTAATGACTGAGCTGGATTTCCTAATACAAATTATTTGTATTTATGTAATAGCCACATTTTTACGATCAGAAACTGTATTTGTAATGTAATGTTACTAGGGATGCACCCATACCAGTTCAGATACCAGTGCCAATACTTGGCATTTTCATGAGAACTATCATGGTTGCAGCTGGGACCTGGCTGTGGCGCTCCACCACTGTCCTGAAATCATTAGTCTGTATTGTTTTAAAAACTGTCACATGACAATAAACAAAAATGTATCAGTACTTGTATCTGTAAGTACTTGGGCAAGTATCAATACTTGTACTTGCAAAAATGGTATCGGTGCTTCCCTTCATATAGGTTTATAAAAACAAAATCAAACATTAAAACTGAGATGTACAAATCCCAGGAGCTCCGTGTGCTCCTTACAAAATGAAAGCTGCCTCCTGACTTTTGAATCTTTCTATAGTCTAGTCTTGGAGCTCGAAAAGTATCTGTACTTGTATCGAGTACGGTACTTGGTACCGGTGCATCCGTAAATGTTACAGTTTAAACATGATCATAATATAGGAAAATATAATAAGTGTTCATTATGTGGGGTGTGTGGGTTATTACCAATAACCAATATTAACACAACTATTATGTTATTAATATTTATATCATATAAAAATTACATTACCACCACTTACACAATTTATCTCCCCTCTTTATTACAGATGACAATTTCCCTGGGACATTTGATTCGGAAATATTTTAGGAAGCAACACACCACTGTACCTATTTGTAATCTACGAATTGGAAGGGGGAACAACTATATATATATATTTTACTGGTCTTGTTACTTTGAACTCCTGTTGTATTGCACCCTGATGGAATACAGATATTTTGTTAACTATGAGGGTATTAAACCAAGAACAATGTTCCCTTTGGCCATTTATTGTTAAATATTACAAAATAACAAAAAACAGCCCTATGGTGTAAAGCCTGTGATGTTCCCGAATATAACATTAAAAATAAACCAAGAATCTGTCACAGTATAACAACTTTCACAAAGATTGAAATATGTTTTATTATTAGACAAATTATATACTATTGCTGCCACGAGTAGCAATTTCAACCAATCTCCAGAACACCCGCAAAGTTTCACATTTTACCTTTTTTTCTTCCTTCTACGTGCAGCTGGATCTTCATCCTCATTATATTCACGTGGCATTCTAAAAGATAAAACATGTTAACAGGTCAACACTACATAAACAGCATACCGAGCCTTGAAATAATCTGTTCTTCCAGCAAGTCCATACAAAATAGGCAGCTTTTGAACTTTCATGGCTAAGAATATACTCACTCATGATGGCGAGATTTTGTAGGAGGCGCTGAAGATGGAGTAGACCGAGGGGTCATAAGAAGTTTACGGAAGTCTTCATTTGTAAGTTTTGACCTAGAAGAAGCAAAAGATTATGTAAAAAAAGAAAAAGGGATACGGAAACAAATAGAAGGCTTTATATATTGCTTCACAAACCACATTTTAGAGGTGAAAACCCCATGAGAATAGTGGGTTAAGCCAAAAAAGGACACTTTAGAGCCTTGGTTCTCAACTGGTGGGTCATGACCCAAAAGTGGGTCGCGACCCCTTGTTCACTGAGTCACCATATGCCCTCCACTTTTCTAGGTGAGAGGCTACTGAGCTTCCCCCTAGCGCAGCACTGATCATTCTCACACCGAGCAGCCATTCAAAATATGCTGCCCGGCGCCAAGTGCCGACTTGAGGTGGGGTGGGCTAGGGGTACGGCCACGAGGGAGCTCCATCCAGATTGCTTATACTGTAGCTCCTTTGCATGTCCTGTAGAGGTGCCTGGGCTGGAGTGACATCACATTCTGGCTCCCAGCTACTCTACAGGCACACATGGGAGCGGTGCAAGCAATGCACATATGAATGAAGCTCCAGCACAGCAGCCCACACTGCTGTGCGCTCCATTGCACTACGACTCGGTCGCAACTTAATGACCGAGGACAAATGGGGGTCCTGAGGTTACACAGGTTGAGAACCACTGCTTTAGAGGGATTAGTAATATGACAGAATGGTAAAATCTGCCATACATTTCACCCTATTTACCCAGCATCCCTTGCCACAGACAATCACATCCTTCGATAACCTAAAAACGTATAATACATGTAACCTGAACTGCTAGAGTTGCTGGCATGATTAACAAGGACTACAACTGTCAATGTATTGCATATGTGTCATACTCCACTGAAACCAAACGCGGAATTAAAACCTAAATTAAACCAAATATTTTATGCTGCAATTTCTGTCATGCTTTTATTTGTGCCTGTAATCCCACTAGGGGGGTTTTGCCCCACACTTTCTGTCCCTGTGATGCCTGTCGAAAATAGTAATTACCAGCACAGGAAGGCACAGGCTGCCATACAAACATTGGCAGTAGTTCTACCTCTACTAAAAAATTTATTTTTCTCTGTTTGCTCCATCATTTTCAGCCTGAACAGGAAGTGAGGGGAAATCTTCTCAACAGGGACATATATAGCAATAAAAACCTGATCGAGACTCTAACCCTTCCCTACACTAATAAAACGTTTTTTTTTGGAGTTGTGATTTAAGTACAATAACAAAACCGTGGAGTCCACCAATCTGTAAGGGGGGATGCGGATCAGCGCATTTTTAAAAAAATGCGGTTTTGGGAGTTTTGCATTGCATTTCATAGGTGAAACGCAATTAAAAATGGCGCTGATGAGCCCGGTTCTCTTGAAAGCTGTATGGAATCCGTGCTGATCAGCGTGGAAAAACAAAGCTCAGGGAGCAATTCGAGATGAAGGCAGTTCGGATCACGTGGTCGCATGAACGGTCCCCATAGCAATGTATGTGATCGTTCATGTCGGTGGATCCACGGGGCTGGACCGCCCCGGTGTGAATGGGGCCTCAAGCCTAATTTATGTGGCATTGTAAAATGTATTCTATTCTAGTCAATATAACCCACAAATTCTGTTCACGTACCAATGTATGGTTCCTTCAGATTCAGACATATGAAGATGACCTGCTCAGAACATAACACAAGCTGCTGATCTGCTGAAGTATGGGCAGCATCAGGCTGGCTCAATCTTCTTAACCTTAACTTTTTTTTATATGCAGATTTTTGCTTCATAAACAAGAGAGTTTAATATTGGAGTCATGCAAATTGTGCCACCATTCATAACACTTGAGAAGGCTCTGCTGTATAAAGTTACCTACTATCATAAGGTTTCTGAGTGCACCGACTATTTTCTTCATGCGATTAGTGCAACACTGGAATAAGGCCAGGCCCATACATGGAGATTTCTCTCATTCAGCCCCACAGAATCACTTGATTGCCCCATCCTCGCTAAACAGTATGGAGACGGTATGGATCGAGGAATCTGCATGAAAACCCAAACAGGGACTTCACCTAATAGGACGCAGTCACCGTTCAGCCAACAATTTTCCACCTGGCTCCTTCGATTTGGAAAGCAACTTTTCTGGAGCTGGATGGTGTTAACAGGGCCACCCATGGCTCTAATTTTAGCTAATTCAGCAAAAATCAAACAAAATTCAAGCTGTGTAAAGCAGGTTTTAGTATCGGTGAAGTCAAATCACACTATGCTTGGTGTAATACTTACTGTAATGAATGCAAATCTTCCACCTCATGGCCATCAGGAGCCAGAGGATTGGAGAACAGCTCACCTGAGATTCAAAAATAAAAAATTAGGTATTGGCATTTAGGAAAGGATATATAATTGAACAATATACATTGTTACGTGACCTACCTACGCTATACACTACTGCGTGGCCTGCTTGCGGCACGTCTCTACGTGACCTGCGTACGCTACTTCTCTACTCGACGATATATCCCTACGCGACCTGCGCACGACATATCCCTACGCGACCTGCGCACGACATATCCCTACGCGACCTGCGCACGACATATCCCTGTGCGACCTGCGTACAATATATCCCTATTCTATATCCCTGTGCGATCTGTGTACCATACATCCCTGTGCGATCTGTGTACCATACATCCCTGTGCGATCTGTGTACCATACATCCCTGTGCGATCTGTGTACCATACATCCCTGTGCGATCTGGATGTTATATATTTCTATGGGGTGCACACACTCCTGTAACCCCCCCTCTCCCGGTGATGCATGCACACAAAGCAGTAGCACCGCGGGGCGCTCTATGGAGAACTCCCCTGTACTCTACGTTACCCGTCACACTACGTTACCCGTCACACTATTCCTCCCATTTTAATATTCAATTACATAACTTCCAATATTTACTACTTACTCTCCCTTTCAGGCATCTTTGCAGTTGCAGTCGTACACACAGCAAACCGGAAACAGGAAGCACTACAGCGTCCCCACAATCCTCCCGCACACCAACACTACAGGCCTACTATCATGTGACCCACAGGCTTCCTCCCATTGGACTAATAAGCTAAGTATGGGATGCGCTGCAGCTCAGAATTGTGGAGCGGCGATTGGCTAAGCCGCTGTCAATCACAGCTCTGTAAAAGCGCTGATTGGCGGGAGCTGGGCATGTTCGTAGACTGAAGATGGCGGCTACCATTGTGAGAAACATCGGGTCAAAGCTGGGCAGGAACCTGAGGGAGATCAGGGTCCATCTGTGTCAGAGGTCTCCGGAGAGTCAGGGGGTCAGGTGAGGATGGGGGGCAGGGTTGCAGCACTGAGCTGAGGTGCTGATGTATTGGAGGGACAGCTGTGTCACCTTCCTGCCAATGTCATACAGACTGGCTGGACATTAGCGAATCTCTCTGCCCACAGACATGAGATGATACTCAGTAGGGCTAGGACGGTCGTCACCTGTATGCATGTTCATTTTGTACATGCAGTAAGCAGACATCCTTAAAGAGAACACAAACATATATATATATATATTGTGCTGACACATTCACATCAGTCCCTCACCCCGAGGAGCTTACAATCTATGATCCCTATTTCACATGCATACCAATTTAGACAGGAGCCAATTAAAGGAGAGCTATGGGGTCAGTGTTTTTCCCCATAGTTCTCCTTAGGGTAACGGGAGGACACAAACTAGCATCCTCCCGTTACCCTAAGCTCAGTATACCAGCATGGTGTGGAAGCATACCGGAGTACCTGCTGGAGGTAAACTACACAAACACAGAGAGAACACGCAAATAGTCCCCTGACTGTGATTCAAACTGGGGACCTCCAGTGCTAACCATAGGAGCAGCGTTGTCACACTGAGACACTGATTGACAGCAAAAGGAAGTATGTTAGAACTACAGAACATCTTCCTCATCTCCATATCCAGTGTAGGAGGGGTATTCTGTAGTTCATAAAGATACCTGAGAACAATGTAGCTGATAACAGTCAGTGCAAGCAAAAAAAAATCACCTCACAGGTATGTATTTGACTTTGAGCATGCACAGCAGCCTTCTTTTTTAATTTATAGGGTTAGTTCACCTTTACAAAGAAGTCCCTATGCGTTCAAGCTTTTGTAGTATAGTATAAAAAGCAATCCTCAGATTTAAAAAAAGATGCTTCATATCCAAGATGTACTTGTAGCCCTTTGGCTGCCTCTCCGCAGTCCAGTCTGTAAAACTTCTAGAGTGGGTGACTCTCCCTGTCCTAAGTGGCAGGACGAGACGTCTGTTGGCCATTCTGCCCCATCAGTACTGGAGCCAACGTGTACTTGTTCAAACATTGCATGTGAACAGTACACCCTCAGACCCACAACACTGAGCTCAGCTGCTGCGAGGGAGAGGGCACTGTGCTTGTTCCTGCGATGGTGGGGCCCACGGGTCTAATGGCTTCACCATCTTGCCACTTAGACAGGACGTTTTACAGACAGGCTTGGGTAAGTCTGCATGTGGCCTACAGGTATAACTTGGAAATAAACCATCATTTTTTAAAACCTGAGGACTGCTTTAAATATAATACTGAAGCTGGCATGCATTGGGACTTATTTGTAAAGGTGAACTAACCATTTAATAACAGGGACACTAGGGGGTTTGCATTCACACTCTGCCCAGTAGGGCTGCAGCTAACGATTACTTTCGTAATTGATTAGTTGCCCAATTATTTTTTTTGATTAATCTAATGGCTGCATTAAAAAAAAAGCTATCTCTATCTCGCAAACTAATCGATAATGAGAATAGTCGCCAACTATTCTCATCGATTAGTTGTTGCATCCCTACTATCCAGTGTGCTCCAGCATGGTTCCGTGCCCTGAACACACTGGATCTTATAAACCAAGCCTCACGTGTTCTGGGGCGGGAGGGGGCGTAGTGGTGCTATTCATGTCAATGCATCGCAGACATGCCTCCCGCCTGCACCAGAATGCATGGTACAGCAATGCTGTTCCCGTGCATGCACTATTTTTTGCAATCGCACAGCACTGGAACGCAGGGCATTGCTGTATCATGTGTTCTGGTACGGGCAGGAGGCCGTCTGTGGTGCCCTTGACATGAATGGCAGCACCACTTCCCCTCCCGCCGCAGAACTTGGGAGGCTTGGTTTATGCAACCCAGTGCGCTCAGGGCACAGAACCGTGCTGGAACTAAATAGTGTTTGAACGGGCCCTAAAACCTGGAAAATACGCATTACCTGTTCAAGTATACTGCCATTTGTTCTAATCATTGAATTGCCTGTGATTTTGAGATCTAGAATCTGAAATGCTTCTTTCTTTCTCCAGAGACTTTATTGAACAAAACTATGTAGAACTCAAGAAGGCTAATCCCGAATTTCCCATATTAATCAGAGAATGCTCAAAGGTTCAGCCTAAACTATGGGCAAGATATGGTGAGTTTCTAATTGCTGCAATCATGTATTTATTTAACGATACTAAAACGTCAAACTAACACCCACCGTATGTTTTTACCAATTCAGAGGACTAAAGAATCCACCTAATGAAATATTTACAGACTGTCAAGATGAGTCGGGTAGAAAGCCATTCTATGACTGAGAAATATTGGCTAAGATTGCCCATACGTGGCCTAGTATCTGCAAGTATTAGATTGTGAGCAGTGCTTGTGAAAACTGGGCCATGTAGGAGTTTATTGGACATGGATGGTCATCATGCAGCCAGATAGCGAAGGAGAAAAACTAGAGCCGGGGTAGGCAACCTCTGCACTCCAGCTGTGGTAAAACTTCAAATGCCTCTGTCTCTGGGAGTCATGCCGGTGGTAGTCGGTGGCTTGCAAAGCATCATGGGATTTGTAGTTCCACACCTGCTACACTGCCGAGGTTGCCTACCCTTGGACTAGAGCCATGGTTCTTAACTAGTGGGTCGTAACCCCATGTTCAGTGGGTCGCCTCATGCATTCCACTGTGCTAGGTGAGAGGCTCCCCAGCCTCCCCAATAGTGCAGTACTGTCAGTTCTCATGCTGAGCAGCCATTCAAAATATGCTGCCTGGAGCCGAGCGTCAGGTTGAGGTGGGGTAGGCTGGGGGGTATGGCCACGAGGGAGCTCCATCCATACGTGCATTGCTTATAGCTCCCTCATGTGAGTGGAGTGACATCACATTCTGGCTCCCGGGACCTCCTACAGGGAATGCAAGGGAGCTGTTAAAGCAATGCACATATGGATGGAGCTCCGTCACAGCACAGCAGCCAACACTGAACCCCTCAAAAAAAAATTGGGAGTGGGTATGTGTGTGTGAGAATGTCTGTGATTGTGTGTGTCTGTCAGCATTTTAATCGCAAACTACCATGCAGCCGCACCTACTGTGCAGGAGGTGCATTACAATTCATTTAAATGGCACCCCAAACACACCTCCCGCCCACAGTTTGATCGCTTGCACTGGAACATGAGTTACTGCAATGCCGTGTGCTCCAGTGCGATGCGACTTGGGTCGCAATCTAATGACCGAGGACAAATGTGTGTCCTGAGGTTATACAGGTTGCCTACCCTTGGACCAGAGGGATTTTGTTCCTTTAATTATGCAGATTTACTTGTGAAGGAACATATTTCCTGTTTATTGAGCTGTACTTCATCTGAGCTAAATGCTTTTTTTTTTTTTAGCTGGGGTTTCAAAGCAGTTGCTGCAGTCAACTGGCTGACCTCATGCATTCCACAATCAAAGCCTAGACTGTGGGGTTTATTTACTGAAGGAATTAGACTTTTCTCTGGATAGATTGTAGCTATGTTCACTCTGATTACTCAATCATGTGCAGGAGAAATAAACTGGAATTTGCATTTCACATGATTGAAGTGAACACAACTTTCCTAAGCCCTTGGCAAAGTCTGATCCTGTATTTCAGGTGTATACCCTGCCTGCATTGGGCTGCACTTGTTAGTTTTGCCAAGCACAGTGCACAGAATGCCATGCTTCTAGTGCAAGGCTTTGCATAACAGAGGACTACACAGTGGGACCGCTGTTTGCAGGGGCCCCCGAACACTGTCCACACTGAGAGAAATCCAGTGCATGTGGAGCTCGGATGGTCTCTCGAACAGCCATCTACACTTGCCCCTACAGTGACCATAGACATGAGGCGATTGTTGCTGGATCTACGGGGCAACAACCTTTTGGCTTAGGGCACATGCGGATGCTGTCAGCAGAGAGAAACTGGAAATAAATAGTGATCAGACAGGTCAGAAAACTGTCTGGCCCTTGCTGTGTCCCATAGACTTGCTGATCTTGAAATTCTCAAACTGTCTCCTTCATTACATTATAGCATTAAGGCCTCATCCACACTGCCACACAAATATGCGCGCAATGTACCATATGCAAATAAATGGCTCCATACACCTATTTGCGTAGCGTAAAAATGCGCAGAAACAGAATGGAACCGAAATGCGTCCGGGCAGAATATTTCTGTGTATTTTACGCGCATATATGCAGGTTTGCGCGCGTATACGAACGTACACGCGTACAGTTCATTAAAATTTCTATTACGAATTATGCATTCTGGGATTGCATAAAGTGCACTCATATATGCAATATACAATTTTGCTCTTGCGTTGTGTGTGAATGAGGCCTAAAGCTTATCTGCAAGGGAAAAAAAGCTCCTCATGTAGTGAGGCTAACCCTGCACTGCAGTTATGCCAAAGGTATTGTGTAAAGGATTTTTACTTGCCTGATCCCCACTCCACCTGCTCTAAAAAAAAACGCAGCAGCAGCCATCATGATCTTGGTATAACTACTTTAAGATAAGGATATACAGGTACATCCTATGGTCCTGAAGTGGTTGATAAGTATATGCTGTAATAACGGAAAATTGTATACTTACCTATCGGTAATTTTCCTTTCCTGATGCCAATCCATGGCAGCACACAATGGGTATGGCTCCGCCCCCAGCCAAATCACAGGACCAGTTATACTATAAATTAAAGCCCGCCTCCCAAGGCCACCATTCTCGTAACAAGTACTCAATGCGAAAGCCATGGGAGGGTTCTGTATGCTGCCATGGATTGGCATCAGGAAAGGTAAATTACCGATGGGTAATAAGTATACAATTTTCCGTTTTCCTGACACCAATCCATGGCAGCACACAATGGGATATAGCGAAAATATATTATACCGTATTTTTCGCTCCCATAAGACGCACTTTTTTGCCCCAAAAGGGGGGCAAAAATGTCTGTGCGTCTTATGGAGCTAATTCCCTATCGCGCGACGCCCGGAAGATGCAGTTTCGGGACGCTGGGCGAGTCGTTTTTTTTTGTTGTACATTCCGCCCTGCTTCTGACAAGCAGAGCTAAATGTACAGCGTGGGGCCGCCGCTCGTTTAATACAAGTGATCTAACCAGATCACTTGTATCAAATCGAGCAGTGGCGGCGATCGTGTACGGGGCCTCCACCTGCCGTGGTTTTCAGGGGTCCCCCGCTCCTCTGGGGGACCCGTGACCACGGCATAGGAGCTCACCATAGAGCAGACGAAGAACATCCGTTCTTCGTCTGCTCTGTGTGATCACTGAGACCGTGGCGCTGTAATCACCCACAGAACCCCTGCATCCTGTGGTCGGGTGCGCCTTTATGGAGCGCAAAATACGGTCAAAAATGCACAATGCATCACAGTTTGAACCCTATTTATATTACTGGAAACGCAACTAAATGGTTAATAAATCTGGATGGTTAGTAAATTAGATTATCTTATGGCTATTCAAGAAAGATCTGTTTGCAATCGGTAATATTTTGGATCTGCATGTATGGGGTTATACCATGTGTTGTCTTAACAGTACTCCATTGTGTTCACTGCTGGAGAGAATTCAGTTATTGCTCCTGGTATGTTTCACTAAACCCCATGGGCACTGTACCTGCCAGTTACTTGGTGCCATCACTAGAAGGAGCATTATCCTTCTGAATGGTACCAAGTGCTGTGTTTGCACACTCTCGTACACAAAGGCATATTCTCCTTGTAATGAAAGTGATTCTTTTTTGTGCTCCCAGCTCAGATATGTTGCCTGAAAAGCAACACTTTGTATACATTTCTGTATAATTCAGGAATGCTTTTTATATAACGCATACATTTTCCTATTTACAGAATTTGGGAAGGAAGTGAGCATCCCATTGAATAATCTGAAGGCTGAACAAGTAGCCAGAGCCTTGGAGTCTGTTGCGAACAGCAAGCCATAAAGCTTCTCATTGAACCATTCTGTTGTTGGATACATTTTGCCTCGATGGACCATGCGCTAGATGGTAAATACTTTGCGGCTTGGACTTTATTATATCAATCACTTCACAGAAACCAACCTGTGCATTGAACCATATTTAACTTTATTAGAAAACTATAAACACTTCTTGAACAAGTCACAGTAATAAAAAATATTCTAAAGTCCTTCCATTCCTTTTGGTTATTCCATAGCTAGCTGTCCTTCCATATTGTGTTCTTTGATCTGCAGGGGAGAAAATTTCACACAATTACATCTGCAATTTCTTTTGGGTTGTAAGCATTTTCTCTTCTTGAAAGCTGCAGTTTGCATTCCTGTAGCTATTTGCCAGGAAGCTAAAACACCTTGGTGACTATACATGCTCCTTTTACATACATTTTTACTAGACTTTGATGTTTATTGCAGATTTGTATGCAAAACACCTGTCACTCTAATTGCATCTCACTGTAGTAAAAACAGACATTTTCGTCTTCCCTCAATCCTTTGTACCTCTTGTGCTACTATTTTTTTTGCTTGTGATTGCTGGACTGACGTGCGACTGGAGAATTGCTGTGTGCTGCAATGCCAAGTTTCACCTGCAGGTGGAATCTACAAATTATTGGAAACGAAGTTGTGAAAAAGGAAACCCTCTGATAATGTCTGGAGAAGTCGCATAAATGGGATTCACTAAAAATTCAGTAAGGATAGAATGAAAATATCTGCTGTTTTCAACTTTATTTTTTAAAAGGTGTAAACACCAAGCAGGTCACTTTTTTTTTTGGATTACCTACTTGCTGTACCACAAATACGCATGTAGCTAAAGATGCATTGAGACCGCTGACCTGCATACTTACTTGCAGTGACAACATTGTTAAGCAGGAATAAGGACAGTGCTTCACCTATATTATGACTTCTGTTGCTAACTTCTTCCTGAACATGCTATATTAAGCTGCATCTCTGACCTTAATACTATAAGTCTCTGACCTGGAACAAGCAAGCAAATCGGGAAAGTCAGAACACCTAACCTACATACTTGTTTCAAGTCAGTGACTTTGAAAATACAGAAGCCACTGGATCAATGTGAAAACTACCTACTCACCGTTGACCTGCAGTAGTCAAAGACCGCTTGTATATGTTGTTTAGCTTCAGGATGATCTTTATAAGTTTCTAACATTTCCAACCCGGAAAGCATTTGGGTGTCTTTTGCTGCCTAGAAAGAGAAAACATATTTTGGAGCGAGATAAGACAAAATTCCCATGAAATATGTAAATTGTATTAACGTCTCATAAATGCAAGCAATCAAGATGCAGAAACCTACAAAAGTTTAAGTGAATAAAAAAGGAGGACCCCCTTCATGCATCCGGCATCCTTAAAAATCTACATTTCCTAAAGAATATATAAGAAAAAAATCTACACTGCCTGGCCTAAAAAGTCACACTAATATTTCGTTCGACCGCCTTTAGGTTCCATTGTGGCACGCATTTGCTGTGGCATGGTATCGATAAGCTTATACACTGTCACAATATTTATTTCCATCCAGAGTTGCATTAAAGGAGAACTATGAGGCGAGTGATTTTTCACTCAACCTCATAGTTTGAGCCGACGTGTGACAATGAAACTCGCACGTCGGCTCAATAGTTCGGTGAGCGAACACATACCGTCGCTCACTCACTTCTCGATCCTGTCCCTGCAGAGAGCCATGGCTGTCACTCATGGCTCCCTGCAGGGATTCCCCCCGCTCCTCCAGCGCTGACTGGCGGAACGGTTGGTGCGGGTACTGCTGGCTCTGTCTCTAGATAGGCAGAGCCAGCTGTCAATCACGCAGCTGGGTGGATCTCGACAGTAATGTCAGGATCTGTCCCGGCTGTGGCGGTCTCAGTAGCTTGCGGTATACTGAGCTTTGGGTCACGGGAGGACGCTAGTTTATGTCCTCCCGTGACCCTTGGGAGAACTATTGGGAAAAGCACTGGCCCCATAATTTTCCTTTTATTTTTCACCCGGATCTTGAAGTGATGATGGGAGAGTCGCACCACTGCGTAAAGTTTTCTCCAGCTATCCCAAAGATTCTCAATGGGGTTAAGGTCTGGACTCTGTAGTTGCCAATCCATGTGTGAAAATGTCTCATGCTCCCTGAACCATTCTTTCACAATTTGAGCCTGATGAATCCGGGCATTGTCATCTTAACCCCTTCATGACTGAGGCCTTTTTTTCATTTTTTGTACCCATGTTATATTCCACATTTTAGGCCTGAAAATTACTTAAAACCCCAGAAGCGATCTGGCGACGGGTAAGTCGCCAGGATCGCTTCTGTTGTAAAGCCGACAGTCGGCTCTACAAGTTTAAACAGAGTCCCGGCGGCAAAAGTCACCGGGAGTCTGTTTAAACAGCCTCGATGCTGGCGACGTACACTGTACGTCGTCAGTCACGAAGGGGTTAATACAAATTTGTAAACTAAGCTTGAGTTTGCAGTCCATCATGGGTGCGGTAGCTACTTTACAACACACACAGGGACCATGGGGAACAAAAACAGCCTCCCTCCAGAAGGAAGGACAGTGTCGGCACCAATTCAGAGATGATTTGAGGATCTACAGCCGAGTGATACACAAATAAGATACATTTTTGTTAAGAGTTCAGGTACTTGAATGCGTTATTAATGTCTAACTTTTGAGTTTAGTGTCACTTTAAACAGGTTTCCTTTGTAACTAGCACATGTGTATTACAATATGTACTTCACAATTAGAATTTTGTTTGTTCAGATAAGAAGCGAGAAAAGTTTTCAAATCCTGCTTCCTCGCCACTACAGTTGTGAATGAACATCAGACTCCATTAACCATTAGAAAACCAAAAGGAATGTTCTGAAAACTAAAGGTGCCCATACACTGTACGATATATATGGAAGGCGTGCGACCATTTCTACTGTACGGTCGCACGTCTTCCGTCGAACAATAAGGCTGGAAAACCTGCCGGGAATCGTACGATTATCCGCGGGTTAGTGGCCTGCTTGTTCAACAACTGCCGAACAGGCCGGTGTGCTCACGCGCACACTACCCGTTTGCAGTTATCGTAAGCCCGCCCCTCATTGCATTCATCGCAAGCACGATCTGCCTGTCCATGATGGGCAGATCGGACTTTTTTTTTTAATTACTTTACAACCCTCGCAAGACAAAAGTCTTGTAAGGGTTGTAAAGTGTATGGGCACCTTAAGATTCTCTAACAAAATTCTACTGGTGTATGGCGAGCTTTACACAAACAATTGATACAGGTTGTTAGGTGACCATTATAGAGTTCCACAAGCAGACCACTGAGTAATATATTACCTCTGGACAATATTGCAGAATGATGATGATTAGATCCAAGCAGCGAAGTGTCACCTGAACATCAGATTTGTCAAGTAGTGGGATCACCCTGGAGATGATGGCTTTCTCCTGAAGACACTGACAGTAGGCAGGCCCAAGGTCAGCTATGTTACATAGCACTGTCAGAACCTGCACGGTACAGTTTTAAAGTGGTATTAAATATCAAACTTTTTTCAACAATGAATCCAGATCAAACAAATATATAGGGCTGCATCCAACTAATCGATTATGAGAATAGTTGTAAATGGATTATTTGGTTTGATACCCTAGCTCTCTCCTCCATGCTGGGAGGAGGGCGCAGCACGCAATGGGTGGGTGCAATAGCCAGCCTGCTAATGCAATTTGAAATGGCCTGTAGCAGGCTGGCTTTTGCATCATCCCACTACCTGTTGTATTTACATTCAGCTGCCGTCTGTGGAATTTTGCCACTGGCAGCTGTCATTCCCTGACTGAAGCTATTCAAGCGCCATGTGCTTACAATACAATAAAAAAAGAAATCATTATAGGAAAAAAAAATCATTTTCGGCCTGACAAATTCTGCTGCAGGATGTGCGTTGCAGTGCCATTTATTTCAATGGCACCCAAATGTGCCTTACACCCACAGTGTGATCGCCTGCACTGGGATGCATGGTACTGCAATGCCATGCATTTGCAAAAAATTGTGCATGCAGTTTTCTTCTGAAGTAATGTTTGTAACACTGCATTTGTGTATTTTATTTTAAATTAAGGATGGTATTTATCACCCCCATTAATCGCAAAAAAATTATCGTCCAACTAATCGATTAATAATGATATTATGAATAATCATTAGGTGCAGCCCTACAAAAATATACATTGCCCAGCAAAGCATTGCTTTACATTTTTACCCAAACACTTACAATCATCATTTCTAAACAACTGCTTCCAACTCGCTCAGCTTCCTTGAACTTCCTGTCCAGTACAGGATCACAAAGCACAGTACAGACTCCAGCAACTGTTCATCTACTAGCGTGGAGATGCGAGGAAATGGGGCCAGGGAGGAGAGAAGTAGGTTGATTTGCTTTGTTTGTGCACGCACACACACACCTGCATAGCACTCTGCTTGAGAATAAAGTCACTCTAAAACAGGAAGTCAGGATCAGGGCTCAAGGAGCAGCATTCATTGTAAGTGATTTAATCAGCATTTGAAATCCTTTTGACTTTAATATCACTTTAACTCTTGTTAGGCGGAAGAAAACCTTACGAGCAAAAAACAGAATGCTGGAATATTTCATAAACTACAGAACTGGTTTGATAATTTGGCAGAAATACTGGCGCTCCTTATCAAAACAAAGCTAAAATTACAGGATCTTAAAGGATAACTTACATTTTTTTTCTCTTTTGAAGGCAGAGTTACCAAAACATCATAGCTTGGCTTTTTTTCAGGAGTATTAAAAAATGTCATGGCAGAGCTAGGCCTGTGTAAACATTTCCTTGTTTACATTAGGTTTGTCTGCAGATTTGCCTAAGCCAGCATGCAAAATGCTGGCTTAGGCAAATCCATATCTTCTAAGCCAGCATGCAAAATACACATCTAGAGGGATCTGCAGCACCATCCTTTTTTCTTGACGTGGTCTGCAGTCATGAGCTCTCTACACTGTAGGAAAATGTAGTCAGAGGCTGTTGGCTTCCAGCAGTTTGACATCTCCAGTGATTACATGATTGCAGTCCAGCATTAAACCAATATTCATACCTCCTGACCATGATGACATCAAATTAAACAGGCAGATGGAGAAGATGCCTTTGTTGTTGTCCCTGTCTGCAGTTACATTGTAGATGCAGACAAAACAAATGTAAACAAAGCAATCTTACACTGGCCTAGAGCAGCAATAACTCTGACACCATATGCACACTGAAGAGGAAGACTGAAAAGATCGTTATTTTGTGCAGAGGACTAGAAAATATAGCTAATGGTGTGAGTGACACTTTTTTTAAATACAGTAGATACATGTCTGCATACAGTATAGCCAACATTAAAAAATAAAGGTTGTAAAGATTACCAGCAGAATTATATCTTTCGAATGGCCAAACAACTGCAGCATAACTGGTATCAAGTTAAAGTGAAGCACTGCAGAGCATATGGTAGGACCTTTTACTGCAAAAAAACAAAACAAACAATGAAAAATATTAAGTGTTTATAACAGATTATTGTCATTACCTGCCAATGGATTTCACACATACTGTGGTGACCTGCGTTTTACCGCACCTGATCAATGCAGGTAACCGCAAGGACACAACAAACATGCTGCATTTTATCGCAGCACACTGGATACCACCTCACTGCTGTGTGGGACCTGAATGGGGTGAACACATTGTACACTTCACACAAAGTAAAAAAAAAAAGACATTAAAAATGTAAACCGTGACAGCTGTGGCAGTATTTGATACAATGCACACTGCCAAAGCTGCCACAACGCACTAGCCCACCTACTAAATACAGCATTTTAGCAGACAAGCTAGTATGAACTGTCCATTAAACAGGTTAGCACAACATTCAACAGATACTGTGTATATCAGCAAACCATCAAGTGCAAATGAGAACTACATACAGTACATGTGCCAAATGTATCATTATGAATTGTTCAAATTTATATTTCTTAGGCATGTTATAAATTTCTGCACACACTTTTACTTCTTCTGATGAGTAAGGGATTTATTTTAAAACATAATGGTAACTGTATTTAAACATTTGTGGGGGGAAAATCCACGAAAAATTCTGTAGCCACATTTCCATGCCACAATAACCTGGAGAAGCCTGCTTTATACCGGGAGTGTTTTTACCCTTGAATCCATCATTCCTCTAGAGTGCACCATACATCCCATCCAGCCATTTGAACTGTGATGAAGGGAGCATGTGACAACCTCAAAAATGCCAATGCATAGAAATAAAGCACTGCTCCTTCACGGCTTTAGCAGGAGCATGTCCTCCCTTCAACCAAACGGGTATATAATAAAGGAATAATCCGGCCACACACTGTTCCATGCTGAATCAGTTTATTGAGGGTTCATCAGTGACATGGAGTCCTGCCCAAGGTCTACTCTCTCTAACGTGTTTCACCCAATCCTGGACTTGAAAGGTTATAGGGTGGTTTATTATAAGCGCAGTGCTATTTTATATTGATTTTCAAGGTGGAATCATTCACCAAGGATGCACAGCAGGTAAGAGACAGTCACTCAGCTAGGATAGGTCACTATATTAGCATGGTCTATAAGAGTACAATTAGGGATGCACCAATACCGTTTTTTTGGTATCGAGTACGAGTACCGATGTTCTTTTCTCAGTACTCGCCGATACTGATACCGGAAGTCCCATTAAGGAAGCCGGGTGGCACGCTACGACTCACCGCCCGGCTTCCTGATTAGCCGGGAAGCCGGGCGGAGAGTCATTACATGGCGCCCAGCTTCCTGGTTGGCCAGGAAGGCGGCTCCATGCTCCCTCATCACCAAGTGACAAGGAGGCATAGAGCCAGCTTTCCGGCCAATCAGGAAGCTGGGGGGCCGGTGACAACTCCCAGTTATGCTCCTGCATTGTCACCCTATTAAACATGCCACAGATGGAGACTGGTGTCTGGCACACATTGCACAAAAGTAGTCCACCACTATTAGGAAGTTGGATTATTGGAAGCTGACCCTAAGCAATGACAGGGAGTAGCTGAAAGAGGTAGGAGATCAGCAAAAGCAATTTGCAAAATAATAATAATTACAAAAAAAAAACGATGGCATTTGCATAAGATACACGGTGCTTTAGCAAACTTAAAGTCATCCAGTTAGGGTTTTCATCTACAGTACTTGAGTTTACCTGTCATGTTATTAAGAGTCCAGAGGCATTCTCGAACCACAAAGAGATGTTCTTTCTGAAACTGTTGAATGAAGACAAACAAAGCCACAAGAAGGCGGCCATCTTCTGGAAGCGGAACTTTGTTGCCTGCAGCATCAACTTCTGCTAGCAGGTTACCCAAACAACGTACTAAGGGACAAACCAACTGTAATGTGCGAAGAAAAGTTACATTTAGAATGTGTTATTACATAGAAAACACTGCCTACTATACAAAAAGATACAAAATCATAAACTTTCTAAACTAGCAATGTGTGATATATACAGTGTGTGTATGTGTATGATATACACATATATGATAAATCGCAAAAAACGACCACACTGAAAAGTGGAAATAGGCGACGCTTAAAACGCTTTTACCGCTCATCAGGCCGCATCTGCCTGGATGCTGTCACTGTCAGGCAGACAATTTTCCACACGACACCTTTGATTTTTCAATTGAAGTCCGTCAACCCAACAGTTTGTCGGTGATGCCAACTGGGCCACCTATTGCTTACATTATGGGCGGTTCAGCAGGAAACAGCTGAAGTTTGAGCCGTGTATGGTCCTATCGGCACTGCACTGTTCCACGAAGGTTGATTTTTCATTTGAGTTTTGTTGAAGGAGCATAGCGGGAAAATTGCAGAATGAACAGATGCAGTCACTACTTGAGTATTCTGACAGCTGGCACAACTGCCTGGCAAGGGAGATTCCCCACCCATGCTGCCTAGCATGGATGTGGAAATCGACCGTTTTTCTTGTTCACGGGGCAGAATGACAAAACACTACCAGTGTAAAGAAGTCTCAGCATATCCTACCCTGTTATAGCATCAGTACTGTAATAGGAATACATAGAGTTGTTTTTTATAATGCATCAAAGCTTACTTGCAAAAAAATCCCTTTTATGTAGTGAGTGCTGCCTTCTGTCTGCCCATCACTCTCAACAACTTCCTGGATTCCCAGTGTGCTTTGCATCTCTTTCCCTCATGCGTGATGTGATGCAATCTTGATTTCTCAAGACTACATAGCCTATAATGTATTGCTTCCAGCAAGCAATGATGATGCTACATTGTTCAGATTTTCAATTTGTAGTTTAGAGGACAGGCTTTGTGAGAGTTGTGACTCAAGGAAGTGTATATTCACAGGGTTGAAATTGTATCACTGCATCGAGGAAGTACATCCTATGGGCATCTTCAACAAGCAAGTTTACAAACTTCTAGATGGATATGGTTATTAGGAGTGGGATAGAACTTATGGAAATTCAATATATAAATACAGATTCATCTTTAGTTTTTGACAATAGACACCCTTTAAGTTTTCCATGCAGACACATCAGCATTTGTGTAAGACATTCAATATATACACAACAAATTATAGAATTATAGCCACAAGCTATTCATTTCACAAATAACAATTTTTAAAACAACTTACCAGCTCAGAAAAAGGAAAACTGGTGCTTGTAAGAAATACGGCCAGTTTTGTCAGTAAGTGTACCAGTTTGGACACAACACCTTGTGAAATCAGCAATGCATTGTTTACCTGGCTGAAAAATGACACAAACATTTCAAAAATACTTAAATATGGTAAATACTGTATGTACCACATTAAAATGTATTACTGAAAAGTCTACAGTATGTCTAGGCCCCATTCAGGTCTATATTTTAGGTGTGACTTGCGTTTTCCTGCAGCAGGAATCCCTAATCTTCCATTGGCAAGCGGCACCTGTCATCCGTTCAAGTTAATGATCAGGTGACAGCCACTGCATCTGAAGGCCATCACACTGCATGTAATCCTATGTAATATGATTTACATGCGGTTAGGAACAATCACTCTCTCCGGAAGCACGAAATGGAAGTCTTTGTGCCCGGAGTTCAGCTTTAAAGGAGAACTATGGGGTCAGGGCTTTTCCCCATAGTTCTCGTAAGGGTAACGGGAGGACACAAACTAGCATCCTCCCGTCACCCAAAGCTCAGTAGCTCGCGGTATACTGAGACGCCGCAGCCGGGACGGAGTCCGACATTACAATCTGGCTCCACCCAGCTGCGTGAATGACAACTGGCTCTGCATATCTAAAGGCAGAGCCAGCTGTACCGGCCCCCTCCCCTGTCCGTTACGCCAGTCAGCGCTGGAGAATCGGACAGGGGAGGGGGGGGGGGGGGAATTTT